AACCAGATAGTCAACTAGTCAAGTACTTCAAAACATAAATGGAAGAACATCATGTAGTGTGGTGGAATCCATCATTATCCAAACTTGTTGAAATCCAACAGGAAAGCCTAGGCCTTGTAGCACAAGCATTTTTTTAAGAAAGGGATGAAACCTAGAGACCTAGAGCAATCAGAGGTACCAAGAACTGACCTTGCTAGCCCACTGTTTATTCACTTGAGTATCTAAATTTTAAAAAATTTAGACAACAAAACAGATAAAAGCATCAAACCATAATATTCTATCTTGCAACATATTCTTCAGACACCAGAAATTAGTCTTACCCATAAACCTCAATAAAATTATCCCGGTTGTCAAATGTCTCAGTGCTAATGTACCCAGAAAAGTACAAAGAAAAATCAAAGCGAACTGGAAAGTATTTAATTTATCAAGACGGCTTAGCTGCTGCTTCAAATCACCACTCAAATTCTGGGATTCATACCCGAACATGAATTCAATGAAAAGAAACCCTAACCGATCGTTTTAATGACAGAGAGGACATACATATTCGCATAGAAGCTGAAGCTCGTCCTCGGCTAAGTGTTGGCCCTCCTTCACCTTCGATATCCATTGGTCCAAATCCATTTTTACCAGAGCTAATCGCTACTGTCTTTCCTTCAAATCCTTCAGAAAGAGATGATTGATCGCAAGAATCTCTCCCCTTCTTGCGTAGATCAGAACAAGAAGTGGCCTGAAGCGAAAGGAGAGAACAGAGACAATAGTACTTGAAGCTTTTGGATTCTATGGATTCTTGAAACCCTCGATCTCGCCTTCTCTCTCTCTGGCTCTGTCTCTCTGTCTCTCCCCCGCCCCTTCTTCAGATGCAACTACTCGTGTTCACTTTCGCCCCTGTGGTTTATAAAATGTTTGCTTTGGTCCTCTACATTTTGCTATTATTGCACTTCACCACTTAACTTTTAAAATATTTTATAACCATTTAAATTACTCCATCCGTTCTAAATAAACTTCTTCTTTCGTTTTTTCTTTATCCCCAAATAAACTTCTCATTTCCCTTAAAAAACCCCTTTTACCCCTTACTTTTTATACCCTACCTATCACATCATATTTTTTTACTAATAATCTACATATCGCATCTTACTTTTACACATCACATCAAGGGTAATTTTGGAAAGTCAACACAAAAATATCCCTCCCTTAAATCCTCAAAAAGTCAAAAACGGAAGTTTATTTAGGGACGGAGGGAGTATTAAACAATTTTTTCATCTCTCTTTGTACGGAAAAGGTCATGCATTAGCTATTAGGAAAAAAATTATTATAAACTCATATTTTACATATCGAAAATGAAAATATAAACCGTAATTTTTTATATCTCAGACGCCTAATATCAAGTGAAAAGATTACTGCACCTTGGACTTCAATCTAGACTATGGGGACGAACTTGGACTTCAGAGTGTTTTTTTCATTTTTTGGGGTATATGAGTAAAAGAACTATAATAATGTATTATTTGCAGTATTAAATATAAATTTCGAAAATATTCGTCAAACTCGTGATTCGAATATCCTTAATTCGAATTTGTATTCGATAAAGATTTGGGTATTTATTCAAATGCGTATTCAGTTTTGAATTCGAAAAAAGTGAATATGAATCACAAATTGAACAAAAAATATTTAGATCATTTACAACCTTACCCCCAGTTTTAGCCCGCGCTGCTAGTTATACATTACCGTTGGTCACATATATACCATCGTTGGGCACCCATAGATGTAGCCTCGACCAACTCTACCCGGCAGTAACAATTATAATTTTAAATATCCAAACATTATCATATCAAATTTCATACGTGTATAATTTTTTTAGATTTCAGAATTCATATTATATAACCCTCTAAAATATACTTGAGGAGCCGAAGCGAGCAGCTATATCATTCACGACCCTTAGAGTTTTTAAGGTTCAATATGCCTCCAACATTTCCTAGTCCCTCCGTCCCCAATTTGATTACAAATTGCGGGTTACGGAGTAAAATTTCTTATTTTTTAAAATCATTTTATTTACAAATTAGTATATCAATAAGATATAAAAATTTCATATTAAAAAACTACGTCAAAAGTTCTACAAAACAAGAGATGACAAGAATATTTTATTTTATCAAATACTTAATAAAATCGCGTAAACAAACAAAAATTATTGAGAGAAGGGAGGAAAAAAATTGTAATCTATTTAAGGACGGAGGGAGTATTTTTTTTAAAATAAAATACATCTAAGAGCACATACAATTATATGAAATCTTGCCCGTCCAACCCCCTCGACATCAACATTCTACTAATTTTAAACCACGTTCCAAAATCCTGCAATGTTATAGCACTGAAAATCCGTATCTCTTTTTTTTACATTATTCATCATTTTTAATTCTGTTTTTATAAAAAAACAAAATATATATAATTACAATAAAAATGCTAAGATTGACACTCTTTATTACAAATAACACCGAAATGAAATATGAAATACACTAAAATAAATTTAAAATTAAAAAACCAATGATAATTAATGCTACAATTAAGAACTCTGAAAGCACATTCCACATCTTTTCGTGTCGATGTCTTGTTTCTGTGTGAATAATGCTCTCTTTGGGTTTGTCGGACACGTGATTATTTTCACAAAAATTGACCAACAAGGGTAGATCACTGATGGATGCCTAATATTTTCCCTAGTACTTTTGGCCGGTTCAGGTCCAAATATTAGCATCCAGGCCTTATAACAGTAAAAAAGTAAAAAGAAAAGAGTAAGGGGCCGTGAACAAATGCACTGCACTCAATGTATTAACTCAAACCGAGATCCCCTTCTATATCCGGTTCACTTGTGGATTGGAATATTTTATAAGGATCGCCAAAATATTCTTTTATTACTCAAGTATTTTCTCTCTCGGTTACAAATTATCTCTCCTATCTAAATTTTTTCTCCTTTTATAGGAGCTACTCCAGCCACCATCTTATCAATATATCCGCGGTGGTTGGGAAATTATATAAGCAATCTTCTTCTTTCCCAGAAATATCTTTCTCAGCTTAAGTCCATCAACTTAAAGTCAAATTTGTCCGTCTGACCATTATTCTATGTCCCTATCTAAGGAATAAATGTTTGTCACTCTTAGAGGATGGCGTACCCTAATTTATTTGTAGGGTTATCTTCCTCTGGGTCACCCGACCTTAATGGGCTGAGATCCAGCCCATTTCTTGGGCCCCCAATCTTCCTTCTTCCCCTGGTTTGCCTCTTTAGTTGGACAGATCCTATCACCGGCCCACTACATTATCTCTGGGCCGGATCTTTCTTTTAATGTACGGATCCTAACTTGGACTTTGTACCTATCTCAGGCCCAAGTCACTTATAATGTCTTGATGGGCTTGGTTCCCATCTATCCCATTTTCCAAATATCTCATATTATACTAGCGATCATTGCCGGTGAATTGCACGACTAGCGCACGTCAGGAGCAAACCACGTTGAATAAAGGGGACCCCTACAACACATTCAAATCATTGTTCGATATGGAGACTCCAAAGTAGGCATGCCAAGTTCACAAGTGATGGTCAGCAACGGCCTCGAGCACGATCGTCGGTTGTGAGCCCTTTTGTAACTGTTTGTGAATGCACCCCTCCACACTACAAGATAATCTTTCCTCTTTCAATGCATACACTCCAGGCTACCAATTATCCCTAGAAACACGTGCACTTGCTCATGCGTATTGACTGACATCTAAATGTCTTGGACAGTCGATTTTCATAAATACGTGTCCTTGAAAGCTTCAATGACACCTCGGTAAAAATGCTGCAAGCATTCTCGGCTTGTAGAATTTCCCATGTAGAAGTGCTCTATTAGCACAGGTGCCATACGCGAGCTGCCTAATCGCGATTGTGCACTTTTGTAGAGTGGATAGGCCCTTCGTCCAACACCGTCCGATCAATGTTGGAAATAGATAGCACGAGCTGCGAGTGCCTCTGAAATCCGAAGGGAAATGGTCATGAGAAAAACACAGAACGTCTGAAAATAATCTTCAAACAAACAACGAGCGACCTGCTCACGATTTTGTCAAATGTACAACTGCCTACGTGGAAAGGGAGGAGTAGCAGCCGCCGCAACTTGTCGAGCGATTTCATTTTGCATCTCTGCTTGGATGACAGGCAAATATTAATGGTACGCCGCAATTAGCATATTCAAGACATCATCATCGTTAGAGGAAGTGTCATTTTTTGTGAGTTGAGAAAGATGAAGTAAAATTTTAAAAAAGGCAAATTGAGAGAGGTGAGAGTGAAAGGATTGAAGTGGAAGATATGTTGAATTTATAGGGTTGAAAAAGTTTTAAAAATGAAATTCGGATTGCGGCACGGCGGACCGCTGCAGTGAATGGTCGTCGCAGATATCCGCCAAAAATTGAGCCCGGCTCTTCGCCGCGGCTGGAATCGCACCGCTACGCGTGCAATGGGAAGCCGCCGCTCGGCGTTCCGCTCCAGCCCGGCGCAGCACGTTTCCCCCCTCTTATTGTAAGTGCTCTAATGCTTCACACATTCACTTAAGGAAATACTTTCTGCGTCCCAATACCTTGTTCTAACTTTTTCAAGTCAAATAAAACAAACTTTAATTATCAATTAATTCCAATTTGTATTTTATACTAATACAATAAAATCAAATTTTGAAATATCTCGATAAGTATTTAAAGTTTTGATAAATTTCAGTGTAAAATCAAGATCTCTTGCTTCTTCATTCCCCAATTCATGAACTGCTACTGTGTGGGAACAACTTCATACCTTCTCTGTTTCTTTCTACCTTTTTTTTTCATCCGTTAATTAATACAGATTTTGGCTAATAAAATCCGTTAATTTATACTTAAGAAGAAAATAAAAAATGGCAATACATATTGAGGCCATTTCATCTGTTTCCTTCAAAACCACACAAAATTTAAGGAAATAGAGCAAAAATTTGAATGAAATGCAGCCATCGGCATCGCCCGACACCCTAATCTCAACTAAACAGGCACCGTAGAATCGTATTTGACACGAATTATTAGCCAAAAAAGCATTGTATGAGGTTCAAATAACATTCTGTTTATCTTACAGATGCAACATTGCATTCGTTAAACCTCTCATATTATACACTGGAATGGTAAAAAGTGCATTGTAATCATCAGCTAGACCCAACTTGCACATTAGGCAATACACTTTTTACAATTCTTGTGAAATAATAAATGAGTCTTAACGAATGCAAGTTAACTTGTAATAAAGTCATTCAATATCTATCGGCTGTGGGGTTTCTTCAGGTCGGTTCTCACCTGCGGCATGAATTTCTTCAGGTGTAACTCCGGAAGCCTCCACGGTTCTAGTGACCCATTCCTTGAGAGGGTCTTCATTTAGATCAATTCTTAACAGCCCAGCAAGCATCCCTCCCATGAAAGCCACGGGCTCCTGCAAAAGCACAGAACCACACAAACTTTGATCGGCGGGAAAATACACCCCTAGGCAGGGTGGGGGTGGGGAGTAACATGACCAGGCAATGAATTTCATCTCTTATCCATGCCCGAAATCTGCATATTTGAATTGCTAGAAACATAGAATGAAACATCACACGAACAACAACCAACCCCAGTATAATTCCAACTTCGTTGGGGTCTAGGGGCCAAGATATAGGCAGTCTTAACACTGCAAAACAGAGACTGTTTCATTTAGGCCCTTGTTGTATTTACTATCCTGAACTCCAGAGTATGTCAAACAACGGAAGTTGAATGTGTCATTTTGATTTAGTCCATTATTAAACCAAACCTATGTTGCATGGGTTCTTCAAACAAATGCCGCTACCCCTCCCCAAAACGTCCCCATTTGGGTTCTTGGGGACGTCACGACACCCAAATTCTTTGTAAAATTTGAAAAAGTTTATGTTCCCCGTTCCCGATCCTGTCCCCCATCTCTGTGCAACTTAGACCCAAAGCATATACACTGTCCATAATGACTTTTTAGCTCTATTGGTAATGAACACAAGGCCAAGAATCAAAATCTGGAATGAGCCAATATTCCATGGCATCAGTCCAAGGCTAAGGATTGCGATTTGCGAAAACCAGAGTAGTACATAACTCACTCCCTTGGAGATTGCACTTTTGAATTGCTTGATCCTTATAGTGTGACTGGGAGCAAGCAGGCTCTCACATATTTCACTGTAATGAGATCCTAAAAGATGTCTTTGTACTCTGAATATGGATTAATTTGAAAAGATCACCTTTGAGTAGAGTTAGATTAAGTTAACCATTGCATACTGAAGATTACAGGGTCATTTAACCAATAACTAAACCATCCCAAAACAGTGAACTGCCTATTGTACCCTTTGGCGGATTCGTGTGCCTAAATTAGTAGACAAATTTAAAATTTTGCAGGTGTAATCTTCAATATATGAACTTTGCCACAATAACATGCTATTTTTGTATGAATTTATAATGCTGACTAGCTTTAAGCAAATACCGGAGTAATTGACATTATAAAACTCATCCCACCAAGCCCAAAACAAATAGGGATTAAGGTGATGATTATGAAGCAAAAATCTTGTGTCACACCTTTCCTATCTCATTGTGTCAATCTTTCTGATTCGGACTGGCTAGGATTATACTCCCCTTCCAGGGTATTACTAATGTCAATATGAAGATATGACAGAAGATCTAAAATTATTTTCTTTTTTTAAAAAATCTACTATGTATATCATAATCAAGCTAGAAAAATGAATACGGATTAAATGATACTCCGTATGAGGTAATAATCATCATCCGAAGTACAAGAATAAATGTGGCCAAGCTAACTGAGAAAAATGAAGATTCTTTTCAAGAGAAAATATTCACATCAAACCTAACAGCTTTTGCTTAATCATGACGCATGATTTCACCTAGGTGTTCATGCATCGCCAAATTGGCCATCATTGATAACAACAACAACAACAAGTCAACAATTAAAGATTAATAATTATCTAGAGTCCGAGAAGCCCATTACTTAAAGCTACAGGAACAGTAAAGGACGAGCGAATAGGAGAGAAACAGAGCAGGAGAATAGTAATCCGTACTACCTTAAGAGCTTCTTTGATGATCGGTTTCTCTCGGATTGGGTCGACGAAACACGATTTAATCCCATTAGCTCTTGCGGAAACCCTAGATTTCAAATTCCGGCGAGGACTCAGCTGAGAATAACTTTTCCGGTCAGTAATAATAAGCACGAAAAATTAAAGGAAAACGCCTAAATCAGAGGATGAAATGAGGAGAACTAACAATTGCGGAAGGGTAAGGAGGTGCAGCTAGCATCGCCGGCGATGAATTATAACTGAGTCCGGTAGACATGTTCGGCGATTCGACACAGTTCTATTGCAGCTTAGGCACACTGTGGAGACAGTCCGGAATTACTCCCCTTTTTTATAAGGAGTAGGTGGAATACAAATTTAAAGTAGTGGAAGTTCAAAGTTTATTTAGTTTGACTCAAAAAAATTAAACTGAACAAATACAAAGAAAAAGCTGGCATGACTAATTTTCATTATCAATAGTAAAAATAAACAAAAAAATGTGAATAAAGTTTAATTGTGTGAATAGTGTGAATAATACATTTCCGACTAGACAACTTTTTTTATAACCCTCGTGTCAATATTCATTTTATAGATCTTAATACATAACATGGTTGTATATATTAAGTCTTGTAAAATAAAAGAGACCAATATATACTCCATGAAAATTCGCGAGAAAGTTCACCGCAAGACACACATGGAGTACATTACTAAAAGTGATCTTTGTAGAAAAAGATGAGCCCATCTCCGAGAGCCGCCTAAGATCCCGCTCATACGATCACTGAGAGAAGGTAAACTAGTCTATGATCACACTGACAAAGAGTGAAATCTGCACCTCGTACTTGTATATGTGCTTATCATAGTTACTTTCAATTGCTGCTGTCAGGAATCAAAATTAAATATATCCCTAAGAACTCCTTGCCTTTGCTATCTGCACAATGCCCACCGTGATAAAAGTTCTCGGGAATCAAACTTAGATCTACCTCTTGATCGTAGATTGGTGGCAAGTATTCTTTGTAAATTTTATGAAACACAATGAATCCTTTTGCATTGCAAGTGTTCTTTCAAATACATTTTAAAAAAAACTTTATCTAATACTTTCATATTTTCTCTAGCTCGAATAAGATCCTTTCATGAGTGGAGGCAATTCACAAATGAAGCAAAAAGTAGACTGATAATATTGAATTAATGAAGTATGAGTGAAGCCAAATCTAACGAGGAACAAACATTTTGAGCCATACTACAAAATGGAAAAATGAGACTAAAAAATTATCTGCTTTTTGGTCTAAATAATTCTGGTTTTAGTCTTACTCTTATAATAATACAAATAAATAAAAAGTTCAAAAAACAACATAGGAGAAGAGCACTAAAATATTACTCCGTCCAGCACAAATTACATTGATTATTTGACTTTTCATAGTCTATCTACATCGATACATCCCTTAGACTGTAATTTTGTAAATTTACTCCATGTGTGGCGCTCTGTCTTAATTTAAGTTATCTGTTTATTATTCACATTGTCAAATGTTAATTACTTTCATTACTCATTTGATAAAATAATATAGTGATACCATGTCTTATTTTATAAAACTTTTGATGTAATTTTTAAATATATATACATTTTTTTTATTCAACCCTGATTTGCATATAAATTCATTTGAAAAAAAAAATCAGTCAAACATGATAAATAACAACACTCAACTTAAAATGGGACAGGGGGAGTAGTAAAATTAGGTTAAAGTTTATAAAGGTTGACCAAGTAAAGTCAAATATGCAAAGTAAGAGTACAAAAATTCATGGCCACTGTAGGGATCATAGATAAGGGGGCATTATTCTTGTGAGTGTAAACACTTGCTTTACAAGCAGCAGAAATATTTCACAAAAAGGGCAAAAACACAACACAAGTAATACTAGCTTGCATCTGAGTGCAATATCACAGCAGGCAATTCACGCATAAGCGATTCGAACTCACATTGGTAATTTTGGAAACAATCTTTAGATATTCGGTCTTGCGAAGATTCAACGGTTGGTTCGGGTAACGATCTGTTTGACAGTGATTCACCAAACATCCTCAACGCATCCTCCACTGTAGAAACGGACTGCAGAGATTCTTGAAGCTTGTTGAACTTCATTCTACTTTCCTCTGTTATCATCCTCTCTTGCAATTCACGGGGAAGGCAACCCAAAGCCCTGCACGAATTACTGATTCTATAATGTGCATGCTCTGAGTATATTTAAAAAAACACGAGTAAATGCTTGTTTTCTTGCAATTTTATTTTCAAGATTTTATTTTTATCTTTTATGTGGACTGGAAGTGTTATTTATCAACAAAATGAAAAGCTCTTTTAGCAATGAAATGAGGATTGTGAAATAATTGGATGTGCGTATATTAATTTCATAATGTTTATGTTCTATGAAATATGCAAAAAAATAAATGTGCAAAATATGCATTGTGAAAGTGGTAAGTGTGCATATCCTTATATCTGGATGTATAATATAGGAATTCGAGCTACCAGAATTACACTTTTACCATTCACAACAAGAAAAAACTGAACCATTTCTCCTACTAACCCGATTACGCCTTTGAGTACACCCCAGTTGTATCCAACATATACTGATTCTATAAAACCAGCATTAAACCCTTTTTGAGCAGAAGATTCCTTTCCTGCTATAAGACCATCACGATATCCCATCTGAAAATAATTATTCAAGACCGAACAAGTACTTAGGCGGCTCCCATAAGCTATAACTTGTGGATACAAAATACGTTTTTGGATATACGTATCTAGGTTAGGTAGATAGGATACCGTATGGAATTGGTCATGCAACCTCTGCCACTCCCTGTCCAAATCCGATGGATTGTCCGCTGCTCCAAAAGGATTGCCAGATGATGATCCGTCGTCTTCGTACCACGGCTCATTCTCGTTCTCATCTGGGATCATCAGCAAAGAGATTTACAAACTGCCCCTAATTAAAAATTCATTAACTTCTAGGACCATAAACTACTCCCTCTGCCCCTATTTAATCTTCCCATTTATTTTTCGCATGGAATTTAAGAAGTGATATTGTGTGGCTGAAATTTCTGCAGAGAAATTTGATGTAAACCAAACAATTCTTAATGAGAAGATTAATTATGGACATCCAAAGTGGAAAGAAGGGATAGATGGAGTAATATTTGTATGAGTTATGCTAGAGTGACACCAACAACAACACTAAGGTTGACACCACTAGTGTTCTCAAGACAACACAAACAATGACTCTCTATGTCGTGTCAAGGAAGAACTATTCATTTAATATTTCGTAGGGAAAGGTTTAGTGCTTCAAGACTGGAAATTGAATTTAGTGCACATGCGGCTGCTTATTATGCAAGATTAAGTTTAAGACAGTCACAGTATCTATGTTGATGCCCTCAATCTATTTGGATGTAGAAAGAAATGAAATTCACCAGTACCGCAACAACTACAACCTAGTAAGGTCCCACAAAGTGAGTCTGGGGAGGGTAGGGGTACACAAGCATTACCTCTACCTATAAAGGTAGTGCGGCTGTTTTAGGAAAACCGTCGGTTAAAAAAGAAAAGAACAAGGTAGAACAATCAAATAATAAAGGGAAGGGTGAAGGCACCCTTCTACTCCTAATATACATGCGCTTGAGTCCCAATTTAAAAAGTAAAACTTTGAGGTATGAGTTCAGGGCCTAAACTTGTTTTAAACAAGCTGGATAAAATTTGAATTAAAAAACATCCTCACACACGTGGCACATGTTTAGAAGAGTCGGTGCTCCCCAGATTAGTTTTTGAAAAAAAATTCTTAATTTTAGATTTCAGCATTAATAAAAGTTATAAACTTTAATGCGAAGGGCCCAAAAAAGCTTTAATAATGTCAACCGAAAAAAAAGATGATAAATGCTAACCTACTTCGTCATTCTTAGTTGCTCTAACATCATTTGCACATTCATCCTGATCCCTGTTTAAATAAAGAGATAAAACAAAGCTTAGAAGTCAAAACCTTATATTAGCAAAAAGGGGCAAAGTACTGCAACATCAAGAGAACAAGTGTGTTTATTGAAAATAAATTTTAGCAAAAAACAAAAGAATTTAGAACAAGCCATCAAAACAGATTTCTAAGGAGCAATTTAGTCAATTCAAAATTAAAAAAAAACTGTATATAATTGCATAGATATTTCTTAATTTACATTTGGGATGCATAGAGTTTGAAACCCTTATAAAATGCAGGGCATGGTCTCTTCGTCCGATATGAACTTATTAAGGTCTCGTCTCATCTGATTTGAGCTAATCTGATTTGAGTCTAGTTAAGGATAAAGTTGTTTTGATGTGATATGGTCTGATGTGATAAGTAATAAGAATAAGTTGAAGAGATCAAGCTCGTAGTTATACCAAGTGATGAACAACAAAAATTTGGAGCAAAAACGTAGTAAAAAAATAAGTTGCATCCAGTCAAATAGAAATGAAAAGTAAGGGCATTGATATAAACAATTTTTTTTAAATGAAGATGTAATTAGTGGGGGAAAGGGTTGAATTTTTCAAGAAGAGCCAGAAAAGTAACGCACATTATATCCGTTGAAGTCATCCTCTCCATCCCCTTAGTACTCTGTCAAAAGAAGTCAAGGGTACATAATTAGATATCCCAAACAACACCCATAGTTACATTACTGATGTTTAAAGTAAATATTCTTGTAGTCTACAAATTATTTTTAGGGTTAGATTCGTCATAGTCATTCCCACACAACTGGAAACTCTATGCCCAAAACCTAATTCCTGCACATTTTTGTTTGATGATAGACGAATAAAAACATGGTTAGGAATACAGCGAAGAGATCTCTAAAGACCAAATTATGCAACAACAATAACAACAACAACAAAATCAACTTGCAGAACAGATTCTCTGGATTGGGGGGGTTAATTGAATTCAACTTCCATGAATCTCCAGAAAATCAAATGCATAAATCAACATGGGTGTGGGCACGGATCAGATCAAAGTGTCAAACAAACGAGAATCAACCTCGAGATTTAATTACCAAACCAAAAAAAATTGAAATTTGGAAAACACGGCTTTGAAACCTCACTGGCCACGGACGCAAAAAAAAAACATAAACACCAGTAGGGCACAAGCCGGACTTCGAAGACATACCTGAGGACCTGGACCTGCTAAGCTGCGGCTGCAAAAAGTGGAAGAATCGGAGGACGGCGCGTCGGCGCCGACGAACTAGGAAGAACAAAACGATTGGGGTTTTTTTGGGAATTGACAAATGCACTCCAATTTTGTACTCCGTAATAAAAACTGAGACGCTAATTATTACTGTAGAAAACATTAATCCGTTTGCTCCGTTAGTTTCTTCGTCATCATCATCCTCCTACATTAGGAAAGTCATTATTTTTAGTCCTATTTAGTGCAAATTTCACTTTTTTCTTTTTCTATTATTATTATTATTATTAAAATTAATTATTTAGTAGTTTTACTACTCTAATTAAAAAAACACTAAAGCCCCACCAAAAAATTGTATACCCCCAATAACCTTACCCAATCACTACTTGGGTAAAAAAATTAAAATTTTTAAAATTTTTAATTGAAAAATAGTTTTGGTAATAAATTTTTGCATAATTTATAAATTAAAAATTGTTACTCCATTATTTACTTAGATATAAAATATATGAAGTACGTTATAATTTACAATAATAATAAGATGAAATTTAACATTATTTTTGTCGTTAAAATAGATAGTTTTAAATTTTCATCTTATTATTGTAAATATTTCTTACTATCTTCGTCTCAAAATGATTTGTAATTTTACTATTTGAGTCTCTCGATAAATTTTGTTTACTAATGTATTTTCATTAGTCATTTGACAGCATAAAATGTCCTTGTCGCATGTTTTTTATAGAACTTTTAATAGTTTTTAAAACATGTAATTTTTATTTTTATCTTTATATCAATTTATAGAAAAAATCATATTTAAAAAATATGATATCTTGCACATTGTTCGAATAGCGTAAATGAATTTAGGACGGAGTATAATTTATAACCAAATAAATATCATAGTAAAGCATTTTAAATTTATAAATTATACATTAATAAATAATATGTCACCAAAACTAATTCTCAATTAAAGATTTAAAAAATTTTAGTCTCTTTTTATTCAAGTGGAGATATGAAAAGTTTAATGGGAGTACAAATTTGTTGGCGGGCAAATTAGTATTTTTTTATAAAATTATACTAGTAAAACTACTAATTAATAATAATAATAATAATAACAATAACAATAATAATAATAACTATAATAATAATAATAATAATTATTATTATTATTATTATTATTATTATTATAACTATTACTACTTCTGTCCCTGCTTATTTGTCCAGTTTTGACTTTTTTCACTCAACTTTTTTCAATCTTTGACTTATAATTAAATAAAATATATATTGTAAATTAAATAGATAAAATAATATTTTGAAAGTTTTTGATATAAGAAATCTAATAAAATTATTTTAGTATTAATATCTAAGATCATTTTTATTTAATCTGAAGTCAAAGCTTATCAATTTTGACTGAAAAAGTTAAAAGTGGACCAATACTCAGAGACCGAGGGAGTATAATCATAAGAATAACTATAAGAAATATTTGCACTAAATAGCACTAAAACTTAAGTCGTTTTTCTAAATAGCACTTAATAATTTCCATAATGTCATGTGATGGCAAATATTTACTTGAATAATGACTAATGCATAATGACTAAAAGTGCTATATTGGGAAGAAAAACACATATGGTGCTATTTAGGGAAAGTCATTATATTTTAGTGCTATTTAAGTAAATCCTTTATAACTATAATAATAATAATAATAATAATAATAATAATAATAATAATAGAGGAAGAGAACAAAATGGAAGGGGTGGGAGCATAGTTTTCAGAACCGAACCGGTGATCGAACCGGTCAAGACACTGGTTCATTGGTTTACTGGTCGAACCAGTGGTTCGAACATTTTTAATAAATATATAAATAAATATATATAAAGAAATGTGTGTGTGTGCATGCATTGTGGCATTGAATTAAAAAAAACTAATATATGAGTAAATAAAATAATATTTCCTCTATTTATAAATAAAGAATTGATGTTTGACTAAATTTATAATTTAACTTAATTTACTTGAGTTGTGTCATTAAATAAAAAATAAAATTTACTTATTTAAAAAAACTTATAAATAAAAAGTGATTTGAATTTTTTTTAAACATTTTACCTAGTATTTATATATATATATATATATATATATATATATATATATATATATATAAAATATTTGTGTGATATTCTTTCCATATCAATTGCATCAATGGGTTTTGAATGTTAGTAAAAAAACTACATATACTTGAAAAGCATTTGATAAAAAAATTTTGACTAAAGAATATTAAAACGAATAGTAGATAGTTACCTACAAGCATTGTAGCAGAGATGGTTTCTAGATGCCCCTTTCTCCCATGCAGTCCTGGGTTTGAATCCCAGACGTGTGTTTTTTGAAAATCTTGAGAAAAGAATTGAAAAACCCAGTTCCGGCGGTAAAACCGGCCGGTTTCCACCGGTTCACTATAGAATGCGGTCTGATTGCTTGGACCGGACCGGTTTGGTGTCCGGTTTACCGGTTCTCGGTCCGAATCGTCCGGTTCGGTTTTTAAAACTATGGGTGGGAGTATAAAATCGAAGGAGGAGGTGAAGAAGAATAAGAAGAAAAAAGAAGCAGAATGAAGAGGAAATCATGAACAAATTGAAGGATGATGATGATGTGGATGATAAAGGGGAAGAAGAAAAGCTAACGGAGTGAATGACGGAAGGATAAAAAAACCCCTATTAGTAGATTTTTGAATAACTATAGGTACCTGGGAGTATATTTCTAAAATTAGGGGTACCCAGTAGTTTTTATCATAAAACTAGGGGTACCCAAGAGCAATTTTTTGTATTTAATTACTCCATTATTCCAAAATTTCTATTATCGAATGGATTAAACGTGACTATTTAGAAAAGTTAAAAGGTCTAAAGACTTTCTATGTATTCTTTTTTATGGGATAGACTATTGAATAGTGTAGAGAAAAAATGGCCATACGAAAAAATGGGATAATAGAAATTTTGGAACGAAATTTTGGAATGATAAAAAAATGGGATAATAGAAATTTTGGAATGATGGAGTAATTAAAATGACATACGGTGTCCTAAAAAAGTTGAATTCACATAAGGTTAAAATATAAAAGAGTGGAGTGCATTTTTCAATTCCTAGAAAAAATATGGCTATAATTATTACACATTAGTCAAAAGTTTTTTGCCAAAATAGGAAATGAGAAAAAAAAGAATTTGGACAATCCAAAAAAAGTGAGAAAGAAATTTTTAGACAACCTTAATAGCTCAAATATTAAGGTATGTTATACGACAAAGAGTATTTTGTACCTTTTCCGCCTTAGAATTATCATCTCATTTTGAACAATAATTAAAATTTTATCTCTTTTAAAATAATTTTATTTTCAAATTAGTATAAAAATTAAAATATATAAATTGTAAATTTCAAAAATATATCAAGAGTTTTATAAAACAAAAAGTGGCAAGAGTATTTTATTTTATCAAACAATCAATGATAATATGTAGATAATAAAAAAATTATCGAGAGATTAAAATAGTGACTGAGATGCTATTTTTGAAAGAGATGGAGAATGTAACTTTGTAAATAGGGAGTATTTTTATTTCTCGTTCCTTTTTTGAAACGTCAAAAAACTATCGCTATCTAAAACATGATTACGTTTTTGAACGTAGAGAGTACCAAATAAATTTTAATTTTATAGAGAAAAAGTTTTGTTGTGATAGAGACAATTGTGTCATTTTTCAATCCAGAAGAAAAAATGGCGAGTTTAACAAAATTGGATTATAAAATTTATTAATTGCCAAAAAATATATATAGTTCAAATGCTCAAACACTCAATGATACTTTAATTTGAGAAAAAAATAAATGAATTTTTTTTGAACCGAATGCAAATAATATTAATCACCCAAGAAAAGTAGAATACAAAAAAAACAGCATTAGTGAGCAACCCCACCTCCTTATACAAAACTAAACCTGATGTTATACTCTAACTACTCAACCTTGGCTCCCCTAGAATTGAAGAAGGTTGTAACCTGATAAATAACCCAATGAACTGATACGTCCTCAGTTATATGTACATTGTTATGCAGCATATAGTTCCTTGCTCGCCATATTGCATATACACATGTTGCAAATATAACCGTAATCATCCATCTTCTTCTACTTGGAGTGATAGCCTTCAACTTCTCAATGACTTCCTCAATGGTCTTTCCCTCAAATCTGTATTTTCACCATGCCTGGATCCCCAAATAGATTGTCTGAGAATAGCAACAGATGTAGAACAGATGTTGTATATTTTCCTTTTCATCTTTACACAATATACAACATGTATCAATTGGGAGGAATTTACCAAGGTTACTCTTTGTTTGCAACCTGTCTTTGCACACTAGCCATAGTATGAACTTGTCCTTTGGTATGGAGAGCCTCTTCCATACAACACTGCCCCAGTTAGGAACCTGTGTTTGCCCCAGCAACCACTTATACCCTAGATCATGGTTGTAGTTTGCGACATGTTGCATTTCCTTAAAGCAGCCCCTGACCTTAATCAACTTTTTCCAGTAGTAGCATGAGTCATAAAAAAAGATACAAGATATTTTTTACTAAAATTTAATTAATTTTAGGGACAAATTTGTATACTCCAACAAAAATATAAAAAAGGTGGAGTGAATTTAATAAGAGTGGAGTGTATTTATCAATTGCCTTTTTTTTACGCGAACAAAAGAGTAAAGATGTGCAAGGACTAACTGAAAATAATTTAAAAAAAGCTAACTGAAAAAATTGTTCCCAAACGAAGCTCCCTCAAAAGGGTGTTTTGAAAAGAAAAAAATCATTTTTAGTGTTAAAAAACCATTATTTGAATTTCACATAATTCAAGAAAAGTATTGAAAAAACAGAAAAAAATAATACTACCTTTGTCCCTGTATATTTGTCTAGTTTTTTATTTTTTCAGTCAGTCGTTTTCAACTTTTGACCTGTAATTAAATAAAATGTATATTATATTTTAATTAGATAAAATAATATTTTGAAAATATTTCATACAATAAATCTAATAAAACCATTTTTGTATCAATATCTAATGTATCATTTTTATTTAATATGAAGTCAAAGTTTATCTATTTTGATCGAAAAAAATCAAAAGTAAAAAAATACTCAGGAATAGATGATTAAATGGTTAAGATTTTTACAAATAGAAATAGTTCGTGAGCCACATGTGTAAGTCGTTAATGGCCCATTAGGAACTTAAATTTAAATTTTAAATTTAGGTTTCAAATACTTCTATTTTCAGAAAAAATCTAATTATGAATCTATATACCCAAATTTAAACTCCGACTCTCAAATTTCAAAATTAGAATCTCAGGGTCCGTTTGGTATACGGAATTGATGGAATTAGAATTGAATTGGAATTGAAATTCCATGGAATTCAATTCCATAAAATTCAATTCACCAATTCTATTTCATTTTTTGCATTGTCAATTTCAAATCCATATAATTTTTGTGCTACCAAACACCAAATTTGGAATTGAAGTCCTCAATTCCAATTCCATAGTTTGAATTCCGTGTACCAAACGGGGCCTCAGAGTTCAAATGAATTTCCAACTTCCAAATACTACACCCAAATAAGAAGTACTATTTATCCAAAAAGAAAAAGTAAATTAAGCATCTTTTTTTTGAACAAAAAGGAGTTTTTTCATGTCATAATAACAAAAATGAAAAGTACAAATTCTATTTTGATAAAATGATGAAGGAAAAGGGTAAAATTTACCATTATTTCAAGATGGCAAAATAATCAAGTTACACTGTTACATTCTATCCTAAATAAATCTCAATTATACAGTTTATAATTTATTTTTTTGGAACAGAGATAACATCTCATAGACAACACTTGCGAGTACTTAAAAATAACCGTGTTAACACCCAAAATACAAAAAAAATTAGTACAACAACCCAATTGGATCCCACAAAAGAAATACAAAAAAATATGAGGGTCAACATAATAATAAACCTTTGCTTGAAGACCCATTGGCCATTACATTACAATATTACATCCTTCAATAACCCATAGCTATCTTGTAGCCTGCTACCATACTAAAGCATATATGGACGATATTTCATGTTTGGAAGAATTATATGGAAGTCACTAACAACAAGCAAGTTGCTAGTATGCAAAGCAACAAGATGAAGCATATAGACTTCATCCTTTATGGTTCTATTTCACCAGCTTGCTCATTAGTGCACAAGTTCACTTGCTCAATATGCCATGTAACATAAGTATATAAGAGTACTTTCAAACAATAGATCATTGTTATTCAAAGCTCAATATAGAAATGTTACTATTGGGTTTTATAAACATTTTGCCCTTTTCCCATATACTCTTGGAACTATACTAAGCAACACCCCCCTACACACAAATAACACATGACACCCGGTTGGTGTCATAATATGACACTTGATCCATTTGGGCACCTTTACAGTGCTTTCACGAACCCTACACTCCCCTGTCCTCCCCCTATTTGGGTGACAATCCACTCACAAAATTTTGAGAGTGAATCGTCACTCAACTTTGGGTGGAGGCTAGGGGGTCTGAGGTGGGAGGTTTGAGGTAGATCAGAGGTATGAACACCTTACAGATCGAGCAAATTATCGTAGGGTGCCCAAATGGAACAGGGGTACACCCAATCCCAGTGGGTGTAGTAATAAACCATCAGTTTATACACACACCCAGAATTGCTTCTGGAAAATGGACCTGTCCCCTACTGGGCAATATAAAGCTCTTGTTTTGTTATGAAGTAGCGACCGATAGCACTTCCCTGCTCTATGGTGAACTGCTCCTGAAATGTCCCCATTCTCTTGCTGGGTAAATCTAAGGACAGATCTTTGAAATTCGGCATGCCCTCAACTTGTAGGCCATCCCCACATATGAGGAACTGATTCCCGACAATGAAAGATCCCGAAACGCGAATTGCAACTCCATCTTCACAGTGGGCCCGGCACTGAAGTTTCTCTACAACATGCACAAGCTTCTCTGGTGGCCATTCCCCAGCTAGCGTACTTCGTATATTTGATAATGTTGCAAATATATCGTCTGGCCCAACATATTCTTTCCCACAAAAACTGTACATCATAAACAAACATGATTGATGTTAATCTTCCTTTCTGGTTAGTAATTTCATAACAATTACAAGGAGAAAAAACTGTTACATGGTACTATAAATTTGCATATTTTATTCCAAATTACAATCTTGACAAATTTTTTGGGATCTTATGAACTCAGATGTCCTATTTGATGTCTCACATTTTACCCAATGTTTCTGTAAAGGTATGTAAATTGATATATTCAACTAAGTGCTAGGTGGGAATCTCTCTATTAAATTCCATGCGTACACCAAATTTCTTTTGAGAAAGAGAGCAAAGTTCTGGCATGGGCTACAAAGGAAATTGGACTAGCAATTAAAACTTCTGAGAAAGGACCAGTTAATAGTTTCCAACTTGACCTCCCCATAACATGAAAAACAATTGTAGGGATGAAAATTTAACCACAATGAATACTTCAAGACTTTGTTGAGCACTAATTTCATATACTAAAATAAGAAAAACTTTCATACAAAGTGCAGCTAATATTGAAATTCCACCAAAAGTGTAATTTACTATTGACTAGACTTTCAACATGATTTGATGTGGTTTGGACACAGAAATAGAAGGTATATGCACACTGATGTACCGGTAGAAGATTTCATGGGTGGAGAAATGAGCTTTGAAAAAGATAAAGAGGGTTAGAGGAAGACCCAGAAAGACTTGGGAGGTGATTATGAGCGATTTATCTTATTGGAATTTGGACAAAAGTGTGTCTCTGGATAGAAAGAAATGACGAGAGAGCATTTTGTTAAGATTAATTTATTTTAATTTTTGTTGAAAAGGTCACACACACTGACACATATCTAAAGGCCATATCCAGTGCAGAAGCTCCCACACAATTCGGAAGTGGTGGGGGTGGGGGGTGGAAAGGGGGGGTGCTATAACGCCTCTCCCTTTTTTTTCTTACGAGAAGATAGATCAAGAGGTCAAGTGTATAGGTCATAAGATAAAATTCCATGAATTTAGCATATTGCATTCCTCTTACCTGAAAATAGAGGATTCTCTATATAGCATCCTAGTATGTTGCCAAAGGTCATCAGAGCCGTCGGCCAATAAATAGTAGTGTATTGTGAACATCTAGAAAAAGAAAACCCAACCAAAGATAAAACAAGGGAATTAATAAAGTGGCAATAATAATAGAATGAATGTGAATTAAGAAAAGGTTAGTAAAAAAGACAGCAAGAATGCATATTCGTAGGTGTTCATGGGAATCCCCACCAACAGAAAATTTATTGACTCACATCTGCCAGATCCTTCATCTTCTGTGTTGGATCAAAAATACTTCTGACAAATGCACCCAAGTCGACTCCATTAGTATCCACATACTTGGTAATGAATGGGTGCAAAAGAAGCTACAATTATGTGAGCAAGTAATGGATCAAGGAACAGTATAAAGAATTCTTCTTTACATATAATTCGTACTAAAAAGTCAGCAAAAAAAAAAGTTTCTAGCACAAGATACTAGCAGGCTAAAGAAACAACTTTGACCTGGAGAATGGAGATGCTTAGCCTGTGCTTAATCTGAATAGAGCTAACAAAACTGAAAACTAATATGAAACTCGATTTTTTATAATAAAAAAAGACCCTAATAGATATACACTAATCTCTCCCCTGGCAGGCTTGATTGGGTTACAGATCCAATAAACTACAAAATGGAAAACTAAAAGCCTTCTCTACGTAGAATATTTCTAGATGAAAGTGAAAGGTCAGAGTGTTGAATGTTGGCTCAAAGAAGCCAGTCTAACAAATAGTTGAAGTGTATCCATATAAGCAAACTTTCAACTACAAATAGGCAGTAAGGGAAGACACGTCATTTCTATCATAGTAAATATCTAGTTTACATGGCATGCAACTTTTACCTCCTCTGCTGTTGGTCTGGTATCTGGATTTTTTTGGAGGCAAGAATCAACAAATGAGCAAAACTCGGGTGAAAATTCATGGCTCAATAGTGATGGAGAAGGATCGTCAAGGATCTGCGATTAAAGGATTGCATCAGTATAAAGCCAGGAGATGCAACTATGCAAAATCAAAACATCACAGTTTGTGTTTGAACTTTGCAAAAAGAAGTGAGCAATTTTAAATGAACAATGAAAAAATTATGTGGAAAGGAAAGCTAAAGTACCACCTGCAACATGAGATTAACAGGTCCTTCATTAGCTGTATATGGGAATTCACCTGTGCCACATTCAAAAAGTGCAAGTCCAAGGCTCCAAATGTCAGCTGGATACGAGTAATTCTCATTTCGAATTCTTTCGGGTGACATGTATGTAACAGTCCCAACAAAGGTAGCACACTGTCGACAAAAAGTTCAAAGATTGGCATCTAGTCCAAAAAGGACAATCGGATCATGGATTCATCTCCCAAGATATGAAACTATTTGAATTTGTTTGACAAATAAATTCAAATTAGGAGGAGATATACGAAGTGTCAATCCACTAACCATTGCCATAGAGTTCTCTAAACCCGCACTTATGCCGAAATCTGTTATCTTTGGTTCCCCCTTGAGATTGACAAGCAAATTTGCTGGCTTTATATCTCTGTGAACCAAATGGCGAACTCCATGCAAATAATTAAGCCCCTTAACGATAATGAAACACCAATCAACATAGCTGAATAGAATACAAGTACAACAACAATAACAACCACAGCCCAGTAAATCCCACAAATGGGGTCAAGGGAGGGTGAATCTACGCAGACCTTACCCCTACCTAGAGAAGGTAGACAGGCTGCATAGACTATACAGTAAAAGGGAAAAGACAAGGCTTAAGATACACCCTTACCTGTAAGAGCTTCTGAACCATAGTAGAAAGTATTGGCTCTGGAATGCGTTTACGCATTCTTATAATATCAGCTAAAGACCCTCCATCCATGTATTCTAAAGCTATGCTTATTTGCCCAGAATCTGGAGTATAAAATGCTCCATAGAATTCAACAAGACCTTGATAACAAGGTGCCTCACACAAAGTGCTTATTTCAGTAAGAAGCTGTTGCCTTTTCTCCTAATGTGCAAAAGTGGTCATCTATATGAGATATACAATGCACTATGAATAATTGTCTGTTTTCCATGTGAGCTAATAATAACACACAATATCATTCAATGTTCTAATTACTTTTTTGGGAACTTTAAACAATTATCAGAAGTATTTGAATTTTGCAATATAATTTGCAGCAATGTATCAATACAACATTGCAGCAATTATCATGCATGATTAGAAGCAAATTTTAGATGGTCAATGAAGCAATCCACAACCATAGAAAAATTAAAAAATGAGGCTACCTAAGTGAAAGGAAATGAAATTCTTGAAAAAATGTTTTTAACATATTTTACTCCCTAATACAATATATGTAATACTATTTTTCAAATATAAACTAATTTATACTCCCTATGTCCAAAAAGGCTCCACGATTGACTCGGCACGAAGATTGAGAAAGATTAAATTGTGAGGATGAGCTTGAGATTTGAGCACATGAGAGACAAATAATATGACTCACACAATTCTTTCCTTCAAAGTAAATTGTAACTTGTTTTTTGGACAACAAAAAAGAAATGTGTTACCTTTCATGGTACAGAGGGAGTAATAACAAGGGAGAGGTCATTTGTACCACCACACTTACACCAAACTGACATCGTACCTATAATTTTTACACGAACAAGTTTTCCTGTTTCGCCGACCATGTGTGAAACCCACAAGACTTGTAAGTAGTTCAAAATCAGGTTGTGGTATAGGTGTGGTGTGCATGTAACATTTTTTATAATAATAATCACATATGACAAGCATGTGAGAGTGTAAGACCAGATCACAGCACAAGCAAAGATTTACAACAAAAACAAGAAGAAGATTAAAGAATGACCTTCTCAAATATATTAATCTTCTTCAAAGCAATAATTCTGTGAGTGGGGATATGAATAGCTCTCTGAACGACACTGCTTGCGCCGCTTCCTATGGCTCCGAAAACCCTCATCTCATGTGAAGCACACCTGTATGTCTTCTCCCCGTAATCAGGATCCTCGACTGGCCACGAATGGCACTTCTGCAGCCCAAGCTCGTTGAAGTTGTACACGCCGTACGACCGGCTCAACAAATTCACAGCACCGCCGTCCGAAAGCTGCACGGAAAATCAACATTCACTGGTGGGTCAATTTTTCGATTCCCAAATCAGGGTTACCTCACAGGGGATTCAATTACCAGGTACGATTCAGACGGGTCCAGAGTTGAGGAAGACGGGAACCCCTTTTCAGCATCAAACAAAGGCGCGAGCTTCTTCTTCAGCTCTTCCAGTCCAGCCATGGCGTGTAAGACTTGAAATCCAAAACAGTGTGCTAGAAACCCATTTCCTCAGGGAAACTATGAATGTAGATTGACTGGAAGCATGCGAGATGGAGCCGGAGCAGGAGAGTGGAAGCTCCTCACTCGGCTCTGCAATGGAGATCCAGTTTTAATTTGGAAGAAGATGGGCAAAATGGCTCAGACGGTTGAAGGATATGAGTATGATGATATCAGTATTGGCGTGGGTGGAATGGTTTTTTTCTTTTTTTTTCTTGACCAAACTCAATGTCGGATGATCAGGTGCGCTCTACACCAGTTCACAATATTTGACGGTTTCTAGCCCTTAACTAGGGCTAGAGGTGTTCAATAGGATCGATCCGATCCGAAAATTTCGGATCATGTAAAACTCATTCTATATTTGATCCGAAAATATTCGGATATTCAAAATTCGAATATCTAATTTGTTTGGATCGAATCACTGGATTATTTGAAAAGTTGAGTTTTAGCCAAAATTTACAAAAAAAAAACGGTAAAATAGCAAAATCAACCCAAAATATCAAATTCAATATAGATTTACTAAAAGAAAAAATTCCACCACTTGGTAATGGCCTAATAAAAAATGACACCAAATTTAATTTCGGAGTAACATTGGTAATTTTACCTAAACAAACAAAAAAACACTATTTAAACAAAAAATTCTAAAATGCTAATGCAAAAAATTCAAAATGGTTGAGTTCCAAAATCAACATAAAATTACATTTAAACATATAGTCATAATATATATTCATAAAATTCTAAAAACATATAGCAAAAAAAATTGGATATCCGATTATCCAAAAAATTCCAGAAATTGAATCCATATCCGATCCGATTTTTCTCAGGTATCCGATCCGAAATATCCGAAAGCTAAAATATCGGATCGGATCGGCCCGGATCGTGGACGGATATTTCGGATCGGATATTTTTAAACAACTCTAGTGCCCTAACCCCCGGTAAACCCCTCACCCGGCCCCGACCAGAACACACACCCCCTTCAATTGAATTCAAAAGGATAAAAAGAATTTTTTTCCCTTTTCTTCTCTCATGGTATAATTTGTCCCCCATAATCTTTTTCTTGTTCCAAACTTCTTTATTGTCGATTTCTTAAATTTTCGATCTATTTAGTTTTTAAACAAATACTCCGTACTCCGTAGTATGGAGTAATTCCTCTACTAAAAGAGAAACTTTTTTTATAGGGTTAAATTAAAGATTAACTTTCTTTTATTACTTCCCTTCATCAAAAACCTCAATAATCACACGAACCCAAAAATAATTTTCCCAAATGGACACTAACAAATGTTCATTATTTCATTTATTATTCCCCTTAGCTTGTTATTCCCACAAACATACACAAGGATCAAACAAAGCCAAACAGCATGCCAAAACATTGTACAAACTAATAAACAAAAGCAAAATGGGGAACTTAAAGACTTATTGGTTTTGGTACACAAGAAAATTAAAACTAGTAGTCCTCTGTAGCCAGGGGCTGGTGGTGGGTGTGGTGGTGTGGCGGCTCGGTGGCGGTGTGTATGATCCCGAACTCGTAGATGAGCCCCGCCAAGCCCGCGCCGACGAACGGGCCCACCCAGAAGATCCAGTGGTGCCTCCATCTCCACCCCACCAGAGCGGGCCCGAACGCCCTCGCTGGGTTCATCGAGGCTCCCGTGAATGGGCCTCCAACGAAGATGTTGGCCCCCACGATGAACGCGATGGCGAGCGGGGCAATCGTGCCCAAACTTCCCCTCTTCGGGTCGATCGCGGTCGCGTACACGGTGTACATCAACCCGAACGTCATTATTATCTCGAGCAGAAGCGCGCTCGCCCACCCTTCTCCGTGTGCTAATGAGAACCCTTTCGGCCTCTGCACTCAACAAAATAAAAGTGTAGGACATTTCAGGCTTTGTTGTAATGTACTACCCGGTCATGTAGAACATTTTATGTTTTGACTTTTTTTTGTTAAAAAATGTTACTCTTTAACCATAAAGATAATTTGATTAAATGTTATAAAAATTTGATATAATCTGATATATCAACTTTATGCAGTTAAGTTTAATCCAGTTATATTATATTTACATCAAGGTAAAAGAATGTCACTATTTTTGACTAAAAAAGACAAAATAAGAAAAGTTTAATTTTCCGTTTTGAAATTATTTTACAAGAAGTTTAATTAAATCATTTTCATTTTAATACGGAGTATAAAATATACTTGTAATTATTACTCCATATATTTAATTGATGATCAAAACTAGACAAAAACAATGAAAAAATATTAGTAATTCATTAAATTATTTGAATACCAAAAAAGTAAATTTCACATCTTGACCGTTGTTTTTTTAAAAATGACATGTTTTTTTCACAGAGACACACACACACACATATATATATATACCATGCCATCAGTGGCAATTCTGAGCAAGAGAGTGGCAACGATGGCACCCAAGAGCTGAGCGATCCAATAGTATAGGGCGCGGAGGAGGGTCACTCGCCCCCCCACCAGTGCCCCAAAAGTGACGGCCGGGTTTACGTGCCCTCCCGACACGTTCTGGGCCGCCGCGACCGCTGCAAATAGGGCGAGCGCGTGGGCCAGCGCCAACACCGTCAACCCTGACGCCCCTAACGTGTCCGAGTCCGGGTAGAGCTTCACTGCACGTCACAATCAACATTTAAACGTCGTCACTTAAGAAAAATTAATGTGTATAGCTAGCAAAATAATTCAACAATAATGCATCCAAGAATTGAGATTCCATCTATTTTCATTTCTTTCTCAATCAAGTTAGAAAATTTGTAATCTTTCAAACAAAATTTTGGAGATGAAACTGAAAGGCTAGGGTTGGGATGGTTTTATCTGAAATTAGGGGTTAAAAACCATCAATTTTACGAATGGATCGGAGCACCTACTATATATACCCTAAACCCCTAATGGCACCGTAGTGTCAACTGAAACTGTATTTCATTAAACTAATATGTAAATGTCAAATTTTGTAAAATTGTACTGAATACAGTCAAAATAATGCACAAATAAACCGCGACAAAAGGAAGGAGATCGATGTTATCAATAACTATACCGATGGAGAGAACGGCGCCTTCTCCGATGAAGACGAAGAGAGCGGTGGAGAGGAATTCCAACAGGGTGGCGCGCATGGAGTCCGGGTGAGTCGCCTCATCCGCTCTCCCGAAAGCGTAACTGCGCGGCATGGGCCCGGGCAAATCCTTCTTAACAACTAATTAATTAATTACTCTCTCCGTCGCAAGAAGAACGTACAACAAAAACCAAGTTAATTAAGTGACTATATATGTTGGTATTGAGTTGATCAATGAAAGCAATAACACATTTATATGGGAGATTTATGGGGTTTTGATGGAAAGAGAGGATTTAAATTTAATTATCTCCCAGAATTGAACTAAGAATAATGATGATACGGTAATATATATATTTGTTGGCGGGGAAATAAGTGAGCTGAGCAGAGGGAAAGGACACTTGGGGCTTGGAGTTGCAGGAAAGGCGACACGTACTACATGAGTTGGCGCTGCTCGGTGGATCCTCCTCTTCACTTAATTACACTTCGTTCATATCCATTATATTTACCATATATATGTACCAACTTTTTTTTTGTTGAAAGTAAAGAAACTCCATATTGTTTTATCAAATAAGCAATAAAACAAAAAGAAAGTAATAAAAATTTAATCCTAGTGTGATAAACAAGAAAATATTTGGGAGACAAAGGGAATACTGAAATTAGATTTAGTATTGGCGCGTGAAGTAAAAGAGCTGAGGAACAAGTTTGTTCTGTTGGTTAAGGTGCTCTAGAGGAATCACTCTATGGAAGAAGTAACCTGGTAGACCGAAGAGTTCATGCAAACCCAGTATCCTCATCTATTCAACGACCAATGACTCAAGTAATTTTGTAGAAGAAACTCTTTTAAGGAGGGAGAGAAATGCAACGCCTCGAAACCCGGCCTATAAAAATTAATTAATTTAAAATAATTAATTAATTATGAGATGGACCAGGGGTTAATTAGAAATACTTGTAAATTAATTATAAAAATTATACCGTTGTGTAGGGTTTGATGAGACGAATCCAACAGTGCAAACGGATCGGAATTCGGAGCAAGTTAGCCCAAAAAGTATACTCCCTCCGTCCCGGAAAACATGGGAGTTTTCATTTTGAAGAGAGATTTAAGGGGAGTGTATTTTGGTATTGAATTTCCAAAAATGTCTTTTGATGTGATGGGTAAAAGTATGATTTGATAGATAGATTATTAGTAAAAAGGTATGATGTGATAGGTAGGGTATGAAAAAGTAAGGGGTAAAAATGACTTTTTAATAGAAATGAGAAGTGTTTTTTGAGACGGAAGAAAAAAGAAAGGAGAAAGGTTTTCCGGGACGGAGGGAGTATTTTTTTAAGGTACGTTAATTAATTATGGTGCACGAGACCCTATGCTACTTAAATACTCCAAGACACGCACGCCTTACCTTTTACGCTGCCTGTTTCGTCGTGTGATCGTGAGCAAGAAATGGACGGAGCCGAGAAGAGAATGAGAGAAGGATCGAAGAAGAAAAAGAATGAGAAGAATAAGGAGAAAAGGAAAGATCGAAGCATAGCTTGTCGCCGCTCTCTCGTCACTAAACCCCCTTTGTAGTTTAATCGATCTTCGTTCGAGGTGAGTACGTGGAACCCTAACGTAGTGTAATCTTTAGGTTTGAAATTTACGTTTGTATCGTTATGTTGATTGAATTCTATGAAACTTGTAATAATAATAATAGTAATAATACGTACTATTAATAATAATATTAATAGTAATAGTAATAATAATAATTGTAATAATAATAATAATTAACAATAATAATGATAATTATAATCATAATAACAGTAATAGTAACATGAATAATAATAATAATATTGTTTAGATCTGATTTAATTGAATTGAACCAGATGTGATTATGGTTTGATCTGATGTGATTGGATCTGGTCTAATCTAATTAGATCTGATCTGATTTGGTCTGATCGATTTGACTTGATTTTAATAAGAATAAGTAATAAGGAGAAAAATAAGTATAACAGAACACCGTCTAAACAGTAACTCAAAATTTTAATTGGACAAATTAGATTTGGACGAAGCGATTAATAATTATATTAAAGCATTGTAATATAGACATGTTATAATAATAGAATAACATGTTTACTTAAGAATAATGAAGAATACAAAAGAATATATATAAAAATCATTCTTAATAGAAGTGTAAATTATCCGAAGAATACAACT